GCTGTGTGAAGGACGAGAATAATATCTCGTATTTACTGAAACACGTATTTACTGAATAAACAGCCGTACGATTTTTTCATTTTAGCTGCGGGATTTGTGAATCGTGCCTCACTCAGATGAGGACTGTGCATGATTGATTGTAGGAGCGTACTCAAGTGAGCCCCAGTTACACACTTCTCTTCATACGATTCTAAAGTCCCCTAATTTATCATCGTAGGAGCTCTGCTGGGAGCAGGTTTCTCTTCACCAATCGGCTTCTTTTTTCGCAGCCGTCACACTTTATTCCGTAGTCTCTTAAATAGTAAGCTGTTACTTAAAAAGAACGTAGATTGTAAAACCAGCGGACTAATGCATTTCATTACAATAATTCATTACAATAAACAATCGGATTCAATTTCCTTTCGGTCATTTGCATATATAGCTCTCGCTAGTTATTAATATAAATAATAATGTAGATTAATAAAGTGCGCATTATTTTTAACGATTTTGGTCATACAAAACTCATATTTTAATAGATATAAGTATCCCAAACAAGGACAAGGACTTCAACAAGGATAATTTCCGACAAGAAGGATCTTTTCGTGCTCGATCGCGAATATTAATCGCCTCTCATTACTTTCATCAATTTTGCATAGAGCCGAACCACACGCCGGATTCGTACGTGCAGCCGCGCATCGCAGAGTTGATCGTGAACTATTGGGCGTGGGAGGGGTAAGAGACGGAGGCGGGTGAATCCTCTTACGGCTGAGCTCGCGGGGGAGACCGAGCGAAATAGTCGGGCCGTTAAATCTGCATAATGCAGGAGTTCGCGGCTTATCTCGCCCGTGTGTTTCAGTATACCCCCCCTCCCCCTCTCCCCCCTCCCACCCAGACTTTTTCAAGGGATGTTTGAGAGCCACTGGGCAAACAATCTAGTCGCTCGACGACGCGTATGACGCGCAAAATGCGGGCGCTCCAGACCATCCCCTCCTCCTCCACCGCGCGTCCGTTTGCAGCCACCCCTCTTGCGTTCCTCAGGAAAAGGTTTGCGACCGACTAGGATAATTGCAAATAACAGCGCGACAAACGACTGCCACGGATGCGTATGAGTCTAGGGGTTTGGCGGAAGGTGGGGGGGGGGTTGTGCGGCTGATGGGGTGGAGTGGCCTTACGAATTGCGAGACGCTTCGTTGCATTCCCCACTGATTCTCGATGCGTGTAAGAAAGAATCGCCGGCAAAGTGGACGGCTATTTTCTCTCTTTGCAGAGACTCCTGTGATGGATAATTCGTTGTTGTACGGGATAGGGACTATAGATTTTACTAGGATAAGAAGTCCTGATTAATGGATCGGATAAACGGAAAGAAGCCAGATTATCGTAGGATTTTTATGAAGCTATAAGACGCTACGAGTGATTATGAAGAAAATAGGGCTAGTAATTGTTATTTCATTGATTTCTCGGATGCTTGATAGAAAAAAGCCTGACATTAAAGAGCCGAGTTTTCATTTGAATGAAATTTGTCGAATGAATGAAATGCTGAATGCCGAATGCTGAATGCTGAATGCTGAATGCTGATTAATTATAGATTACTTACTTAATATGAAACGTTTGTGTTCGATTAAAAGCTTATTTAATCACTTTATTAATGATATTAATTTATATGTATATTTTAACATTATTTATAATTATATTTTACGTAGAATAGAAGCGGTAATTCATATTTCTTTGAATTACATAAATATAAAGCTTATTCTATAAAGAAGATTACTGCAGAAGAAAAAATCTTAAAATTAAAGAATAATTCAGTCGATGTGACGCAAATGATAGACTCATTTAAAGCTATAGAATCTAAAAATAATTCAAGCTTTCGTTGTTTTAAATTATAACATAATCATTTTATAAAAACGATTTTTCCAAATAAATCTTTCCAGACATAATGAAATTGATCAGAATCAAAATCACGTCTGAGAAACAAGCAGCAAAGATTCATAGCGATTGTGAAATAAATGAGAAATTATCGATTTTTATTTATGACTACAATTAAAGTATAAAACTTACGATATTTTATTTAAACTTGTGCGAATAATTCATTTACTTAACAATTTCGTCTAATCTTCTTATATAATACATTGAAATCCACAATACATCTATACAGCGTTTAATGATTTAAGTGAAAATTCACAGAGAATTCATCGGGAAATTACCCATCATTTCGGGATACCCAAACATTATTGAGCCACTGCCTCTTCCCAATATGTGTCTAAATACGTATTGCGGAGGGGAAAATGATCCGCGAACCCCAAAGAGGCCAACAAATGTCATACGTCAATCAGACTTGTAATTCCAGAAGATTAAAATACTCCGCTTTTGTAAGTACTTCACGCATCGCGTACCTAATCGCGCAATACCCATGATTAATATCTCCTTTGGCAAACGCATCTTAATCTTGATATATCTTTTTATATGTACTAATTATAAATGGTTTTCGCAAGCTCTTGATATATTGATAATTGATCGTGTTATTCGGTGAGCTATAAATCACAAGTTGCTGCACAATTTCGCTTGAAAGCTGGTGTCAAAGTCATATGTTGCTAAAGAATAAAAGTATCGGCTACTAAAAAGCAAGAATAATGGGATAATTTATAATATTGTAATTTATAATCTTGTATAAATATATACAATGTTTAAAAAAAGGAGAAGAAGAAGAAGATAAGAAAAAAAGAAGAAAAAAAAGAGAGAGACAGAGAGAGAGAGAGAGAGAGAGATTCTATATTAATAATCTGTATTATTATTTTGACGTAAAGTTGAAAATTATTAAGAGATTAAGAGTATTAAAATCCATTTAAATAAAGAGTGAAGAGTTTTAGTTTCAGTTAAAACAATAAGAGTTAGTTCCTTTCTTTCAAATTTTTGCGATCGATTGTTTTAGATATGCTCTTCTGATCTTAGCGTATGTGCATCGATTAAAAATTCTTCCAAATGCCTGTAATAAAATTATTTAAATACTTACATGTTTTTCGTTTGGATTGAATTTTATTACGAATAAATAAAAAACAAAACCAGCCTATTAATCACTACATTGATGATTGATTAAATAATTTATCTACTTAATAAACATATTTTCAATTAAATATTTTCAATCATTACACTCCCTCTTTCATTACAACTGCCCTTATTAAGATTTAGTAATTTATGGGCTTAATATATTCGTAATCTATTAAAGCTTTATGGCCAAGAAACTTCATACTCGCTGAAATTACTGAAATTGTAATTATTATAAAATTAACGTACAAAGTTTTATATTAAATTGCACATCATCCTCATACTTCAATTAAAAATCCCAGCTCTTCCATAAATAGCAGACAGTTTAAAGATAATTAACGATTTTTCAAATTCAACAAACAATCTGATACCTTGTTAAGAGCAAATTGTCGAGATATTTCCCTTTTACGCGCATAATATTTACCAAAAGCGAATAATATTCTCGATAACATGGGCAAAAAGAAAAAAAATCCTTTATCGGAGCAAGTAGATAACGGTTTGCAAACTCAAATATGCACGGGTTCATCCATTTTGGCGAGATTAAGGTTTCCCCGGAGGCCAGGGTGCCGGCATTCTCACGCTCGTACATCGGCTCTCGGTCTCCTGAGCTAGAAAAACGTGAAAAGAAAAGTCATCGTCAAGACGTGTATAAACGTCTATTTCTCTCAGCTCGGCTGAAAATCATTATCCGCCCGAAGCGAAGAAGAAAGAAAAGAGAGGCAAAAGTCCATATGCATTCTTCGCTCTTCCACCCTTCAGGTCCCATCAAACAGAGGCATTAGGCTTGATCCGGCGCGCGATGTTCAGCCAAGCGAATGACAACGTACTCGGGTACTCTCTTTTCCTATTCCCATCTCTCTCTCTCTCTCTCTCTCTCTCTCTCTCTCTCTCTCTCTCTCTCTCTCTCTCTCTCTCTCTCTCTCTCTCTCTCTCTCTCTCTCTCTCTCTCTCTCTCTCTCTCTCTCTCTCTCTCTCTCTCTCTCTCTCTCTCTCTCTCTCTCTCTCTATCTATCTATCTATCTATATATATATATATATATCAACCAACTATATATATATATATATATATATATATATATATATCAACCAACCCCCATCTCTTTCTCTCTTTCGAGGCTTAAAGCTGCCCCCACGAACAGGCGCACTTTAACCTTTCCCGTCTACTCGGTGAGGCAATGGAGGCGCAGCCTTGAAGTGCCTTTCGATCTTCACCCTTGCCCCATTATTAATTGCATTCGGCACATAACGAGTGAAAGAACCTTTCCAAATCAGTTTTCCAAAGTCTCGTGGGTGGTGATTTATCCGTCAAAACGACGGCGTTACTCACGAGGCATGCTCGTAACCAATGTTACTTTTTGCAATTGCGACATTACCAAATTGGCTAATAGCGCCCGTTCTTAATACACACTCGATTAAGCTCTCGATCACCGCACAATTTTCAAATATTTCATTTTACAATTATCGGCTAAGTCTTGGCCGTTTTAACTTTATGGGATATGAAACGAGCAAGTAATTAATAACTTATCGACTTTTCTTTTTCTTCGAAATAGCCAAACGAACGGTATGGAGTCTCCGTCACTTTCTCACCTATCTTATTATGCAATATATAATCTTATTGTATAATAATGATCGCGATGGATAGAATAATCATTAAATGATAAACATAATTAATTGAATAGCTTTATCAAATAGAGCGAATAATCGATGGAACGCTCAAAGTAGCCGAGGGTAAAGTAAACTTACCTTGCGATCTAGAATAAAATTCGCGTTCGCCGGTGTTTTAACGAGAAGCGCTTTATTGTTAAGCAAACGTGTTATGTCGTTTCGCGCAATCTCAAACTATAATGACGATTTTGTCCTTGTCGAACGGCACGGCATTCTACATTGTAAGCGATTAATGAAACCGAGCTAATAGGGTATTGACGTTATCAGCATAGCCATGGCGTAGCATCGCTCGATCCCTTTCTATTCCAGGTCATCCGCATTTCTTCAATCAGCTATCGTGCGGCCTCGATCTCGTCTCTATGGCCGGCGAATGGCTCACCGCCACCGCCAACACAAACATGTTCACCTACGAGATCGCCCCGGTGTTCATTCTCATGGAGCACGTGGTGCTGCAAAAGATGCGCGAGATTATCGGCTGGCCGAATGGCGCCGGCGACTCGATCCTCGCCCCCGGTGGATCCATCAGCAACCTTTACGCCTTCCTCGCCGCTCGCCACAAAATGTTCCCCCAGTACAAGGAGCGTGGCCTCTCGGCTGTTGGCGGACAACTCGTCATGTTCACCTCCGATCAGGTGAGCGCTCTACGGCCTTGACACTCCGACTTCGAAAATATCCGAACAAAAAGAAAAATCGCACCATTAATTAAGAAAATTTCAATGTCTTTCAGTATCATGTCAACGTTATTTATACGTAGAGCATGTTCGAGAAAAGAAAAATCGCACCATTAATTAAGAAAATTTCAGTATCATGTCAACGTTATTTATACGTAGAGCATGTTCGATACGGACGTATTTTATACGTAGTAACGACGGACATCCGATAACCAACGACAATTAGCCGTATCTGCCGTTGCAAATGTCTTATGCGAACATTCGCAAACGAAGCAATGCTTTATCAAATTAGCCTTTAGCGTTGTTTAACCGAGCAGATGAGATTTACAAGTAGAAACAGAACAGACACTCCGCGGGCGCTTTAATTGCCCTTTAAATCGTCACTCTTAAACTACAATAAAAGCTCTTTGATAAAATTCGTAAGGTTTTCATGTACTTTTTTTGGCATCGTAAGTTGCTTCTTAACGACGATCGCCGAATGGCAAAATCACGGGCAAAGGCGCTTCACTGTCAACGGTATCAATTGTTAAACGATAATTATCACTCGGAACTTTATAAAACACTCGATCGTGAGAAACACCGCTTGACTTTGTCCCTTTATCGTTAAAAATCATCTAGCTTAATCTTAGCTAATATCATATTTAAAGTACGTTGCTTTGTTGTGGAGAGATTTTCTTGCATTTACTTGCAGATTCTTTGCAGTGATTTAAGCGCCAAATGCACCTTTTGCCGATCGGTTTCCAATTTTTTGCCATACCATAGCTCGCTAAACCCCCCCCCCCCCCCCCCCCCCCCCCCCCCCACCCCCCCCCCCCCTCCCACCCACCCACGATATGACACGGACACGAACACGAACGAGCGAGAAAAACTTTGTTTGTGTTTCAGTGCCATTACTCGGTGAGGTCGTGCGCATCGGTCTGCGGCCTGGGCACCGACAACTGCGTCATGGTGCCGAGCGACGAGCGCGGACGCATGATACCCTGGCGACTCGAGGAGCTCATACTCGAGCGCAAGGCCAAGAATCACATCCCCTTCTTTGTGAACGCGACCGCGGGCACGACCGTCATCGGAGCCTTCGATCCCATAACGGAAATTGCCGATATCTGCCAGAAATACAATTGCTGGCTGCACGTCGACGTGAGTGTTCGCATCTCGACCCCCTCCGGTCACCTCCTTGCCGCTTTTTCACCGACCCTCGAGACGATTAGGGCGGGCACAAAGGCCAACGATCGCCTATAATGATGTGATAACGGGTCGATGAACTCGCTCGTTACCGATACGATCGATACGTCAGCGGGAATCGACGCTTGCCATCGAGTCCTGGGATGCGACACGTTAGACAAACATCCACTCCGGATCTTTCATTTCGACAGATCAAAGGGAATTTTCAAGACTCTTGTCTTTCACTTCTTACATTACTGACAGTGTATTTTAACTCGGACTTACCTTCACCACAAAATTATTTGATAAGGTTGTGGTACACATTTATACGACGTGCTCGCGTCGAATATTTGAAGGCGAGCTCTAACCGAGAAAGCTCTAAACTCTAATTGATGATTGACAATTGACAACTAATGACAATTTACCCAATCGTATTATCCTCGTCAAAAACAAAATTCTATTTTACAATATAACACGTATCTGATAACCGAGCTTATAACGCAGTTAACAATACGGTAATTATTTATTATTCGGCATTTACAAACAAGCATTAATCACAACATACAGTTATTATTGTCAAAATTAAACTAATTATTATTCCCATAGAATATCGATTCATTTTTTAGAGTATTAATTTACGATAAGTAAGCTGTCTATATACGAAGCTATTCGCAAAGTCATATCGGCATTTCTATAATCAATATAATAAACATTTTGTAACATTGTAGTTAATATTCCCGCGATTAGCGTACAATTCACTATGACGTAACGTATCACTACGTTATACATATTAAAAAATTGATTGATTCGCGTAGACTGCGACGATGCGTGCCATCGTGCTTGAAGGGTATAATAAGCGTTTAAAAATGTCGGCCTGAGCTTGAGGGTTAATTATTAATGCGATAAGCACCGGTCCTCGGCAGAGATTTCTGGATCAATCACTCTCCCGGCACTAGAACACCTCTCGCATTTCTAAATCAGC